TCCTCCCTTCTTTTCCTCTCTCTCCCTTCCCAAACTTCTCAGGTCTCACCTCCCCCGCCTAAAACTTGCACTGCGACTGCCCAATTTTTTGTCTATGTGTTGTTGTTTTAAATTGTATATTGTTTTTAATTGTTGTAAACCGCAATGAGTCGCCGACTTAGGCTGAGATATTAGCGGTATACAAGTGTATTAAATAAATAAATAAATTGCTTTGTTAAGTTTCTTCATTGACTCACAATATATTCCGTACCCATTTTGTCACATGCTGTCTTGACATTACGTCCTCTCCATAAACTGAAACAATTTTATGATGAATTGCAGTAGCGTTCATGCCCTTAGTAAATAATTTAGGTAGCGTATTATAGCACAAACTTCGCATTTGGAGGGAAACAGAATGAGGACACTCATCTCTAACCTTCACCATAATACCAGTTGATGAGCTACTGACAACTGGCACTGCTCATTGCTTCCACTGGTTTCTCGCTACACGGCAGTGACCCCAACTTCCCCCGCGAGAGCTACATGCCTTGTAACCAGGCATGTAGCCAGGGGGGGGCTCGGGGGCTTCAGCCCCCCCCCGAAATTTTCATGGTGGTTCGCGAAAAGGCCTTATTGGTGCATTATTTAAACTGTTATGTTTATTCATATCATGATCTGATCACCATACTCAATATATCCCATATGCATGGGGGTATTGGGGTAATGATACAAAAGGTTTGCTAGGCTAGACCCTCTTTCACTCAGACTCAGCCCCCCCCGAAACTCAGCCCCCCGAAACCCCCCCTGAAAAAAAATTCCCCCCCCCCCCCCCCCCAAAACGAAATCCTGGCTACGGGCCTGCTTGTAACCTTTCTTTCCGGATAACCCTCATACATACACTGAACCATTTTGGTGCTGTTTATTATTAATGTCTTCAAATGGTTTTAATGTCAGATACTTGTTACTTTGAAGCAGAGGTAGGAATTTCTCTTCAGATGTAATTGAAGTCGTATCAGTCTCAGCCAGATTAGCTAAAGTACCGCTGGTCAACATAGTTAATTGTTAACATCATAATCAATTTTTTCCAAGAATGGGACTCAAGGCTTATAAATTATAAAAACCCAATATAAGTGAAAAACCACACAAAAATATAACTAAGGCTACTTTGTAAAAACAATGAAACAATATGTAGAGGGAAAGCCATTTAAAATGTATTGTAAGACAAAATTAATTGCATGCTGTACTGTTGTAATGATTTCTTTAAAAAGCATTTTAAAAGGCCTTTCACAACCAACCCCTGAAACCTGATAGAATATGAATGTTTTTATTTGCCAGATGAAAGACAGCATGGAGGAAGCCATCCTAACCTCTTCATGTAAGAAAGCTCCAATATCTAGGAGAAGCCACCAAGAAGGCCATCTTCCTTGTTCCCACCAAATCAGTTCAAGAATGCAATGAGACAGAGAAAAGGGCCTCCCCCCAAAGATCCTAGAGCATGAATAGGTTCATGTAAGGAAATACAGCCCTTCAAAAACATCTGAAGAGATGCACAATTCATTCACAGATATCACATGCTCTGGTTTTATTGTTTTGATGGTTTGGTGTTACCATTTTTTTACTGAAAAAAATAGCATGCAAATATTTGAAATATAACTCCAATAAAATACAGTCAGCCTTCCACATTCATTGGAGCTAGGGCACAGAACACCATAAAAGTGGGAAAACTGCAAAAAACAAAAAAACAAAACTCCCACATTTTTAGCCTGAGAAAATGCTAGTTAATGTCCTCAGTGCAATTCTATGGTCAACATCTGCTGGAGATTGACCATGGAGTTGTTCTGGGAGACCTAGAGATTCCTAGGGAAGTCATGTTAATCAAACCTGTGAATAATGAAATCTGCAAAAGTCGAACCAGCAAATATGAAGGGTCAATCGCATGTGGATCTGTGGATCAAAAGGCAGTATATAAATGAATGTATTTATGTTTTTGTTATTATGATTTAAAGTTGATTTAAAGTTCTCAATCCTGTACTTCCAGGACTGTAAAAGGGGGTTGATTGAATAGTTATACCAGTTGAACCTGCCTATGCATTTAGATCAGGAGTGGGAACAGTGTGGCCTTCCAGATGTTATTGGACTGCAATGCTCAGCATCCGTCTCCATTGGCTATGCTGGCTACAGGTGATGGGAGTTGAGGTCCAGCAACTTATAGAGATCTGCTCAACTCTGAACTCTTAACACATATTCTCAGACTCTCCATTCCCTGACTTCCATCAGAATGAGTGGTACAGTGTGCTTTTTCCCCCACAAAGGCCAAGGACATTTCGGGGATGAGGCTTCAAATCTTGAATGCGTTTCCCGGTTGGGAGGTAAGATGAATGCAAATGTTGGTCTAAATCTGATTGCTCGTTCCAGCTAGAAAAGACACACTGAACAAACTGCTGGGCTGAATAGCAAGACTTATGGAAAGCTTTCTGATACACAGGGTCGACTGTAGTTGAGTGCAGCAGCTGGATTTAGACCATAATATTTAGGGGGGATCAAAATGTTCTTAAGTTGCCAAGGCATTTTAGACTATGCACATTTGTTAGCAGACTGATTAGATCTGTTTGCTGTTTCTCTATTTTATTTTATCAGTGTTTAATTTTGTGTTCAGTAATATAATTTTTATTTTATTTTCCAGTGATATTAGAGAAGAACTATCTGTCAGTGGAAAAATTGTGCAGTTTATGAAAGTCAACTTTGTAAAGAAAGGGAAGGAGAGCCTACCTGAGAGTTATCCTTAACAGTAGTTAGTCTAGAGGATTAGATCTTTTTGGTGATGGCACCCATCTTCTGGAATTCAAAAAGCAGAAACTCTGCAAAAAGTCAGTGCACTGAAAGGCAGAAATGGTATTCAGCTTCAAACGACTGCTGCTGAAAGTATTATGTGTTTACTTAGTCATTCCCCAGCTGGTTAATTAGTCCCACAGCTCTCTTTCTCTGTGTTGATTATTGGCCTGTATTAATTATGTATTATTATTAAGTGCTTTAAATTATTTGATACTGTTCTTAAATCATATCACAGATATTTTTTCATGTGCATTGCTAGGAGATTATACAATATCAAGTGGTACACAAATATTACAAATAAAACAACATAAAATAATTATAGTACATGTTTTTTTTAATGTTCCACCTCTTTCTGCCCCTCCTCGCAGGAGTTTCATAACCCAATAACTGTGGGAAAGCAAGATGGGGAACTTAGGGGACTGAATCCTCTTTTAAACTACAACCCAGGTACTGAGAGTTGCAGTCCAAAAAGGAGCTGTTCTAACTGTTTCAATCTAAGAGTTGATAGTCAGTGGTTCTCAACCTGGGGTCCCCAGATGTTTTTGGCCTACAATTCCCAGAAATCCCAACCAGTTTACCAGCTGTTAGCATTTCTGGGAGTTGCCAAAAACATCTGGGGACCCCAAGTTGAGAACCACTGTGACAGATGAATGGTTTAAATAAATACGTAAACAAACAAACAACTTATTCAGATTTCAAGTTCAAGTATGAAGGAGATGAGGCAGAAGATGATAAAGACAGCCGAATCCCTCTCAGAGTGGATCTGATGTGTTGGCAGCTCCTTTATAAAGCAAATAGGAAGAAGATTCTATCAGAGGGGTTTTAATCTGTAAAGCCACTTCGGGGGAGATAAAGCGGGTAATAATAATAATAATAATAATAGGATCACACATCAGACACTTCCCAAGTGTCTAGGACTGTGTGATATAGCAGTGAATAATGCATGCAGATCCCAGTAAGATGGCCTTTTGCAGCTAGTAGATGGTAATTTTGACAGCGTCGATTGTGTTTAGGTGCAGGCCAAGGTCTTTAGGCACTGCAATACAACAGCCAGCAGAGTGATCTTGTTTGCTGTGGACTCATCTTGTTGTGTTTCTAATGATGATGATGATGATAAAGCCCTGACCTATGTTTTCCTTGTAAATTGCAAAAATATTGCACCACAAACCTCCAATAACCTAATCCTAAAGGCAACCCAACCACATCCAGGTAAGCCCTGTAACACCTGGACACTCAAGCCATTCACTGATCTGGTGTTCAGGAAACATGAATTATAGCAATAATGTGCCTAATACGGAAGCTCAGACTATTCTTAAAATATGTATTCATTACTCATGGGATAGAACATCTAACTATAGGGAGAAAAATTTATCTTGAGATAGGAGGGAGGTCAAGATTTTGGTAATAACACAATCTGTGTTTCAGTTTACAACTGTTTTTTCCCTCTTTTGCCCAGAGCTTGGAAATATTACTTTTTGGACTGCAACTCCCCAAATCAATGTCAATTTGGGATGTTATATTCCACTAAAGAACAGGTCACTTACCTTTAACCGTGCTTCTTCAGGGAGTCATCTATGATCCAATGAGTGGTCATGTGTGAGTCACAAAGGCCAGAAAGAAATAGTAACACTCCCATGCTCTACTTCTGAACGCATTTCATACCACACAGCCAGCTTCTGTATCTTCAGTTCCAAGGAGAACTGAAATGTGTTCCAAAACATGAGCTTGAAAAGGCCTTTGAACACATTTCACCTCTCACCAAGAGCCCCCTCTTCTTTAATTAATCCGTTCCCCAACCCAACTCTCCCATTCATGCTTTGGGGCCTCTCTAACCCTTCCATCCACTGTTTCCATCCACACTTCCCTGCCTGTTTATTTCAAATGACCTGCACGGCTATTTCGGGCCTCTTCTTAAACAAGAGCGAGTCCCTGATTGCCATTCAAGATGGATTCTCATTACTCCAAAGTGTCCCTCTAGGAGACACATTAAATAGTCCACGAGGTTAACTTAATCCAGCTGATTCTGTGTGGTCTCGGCCCGAATTCCCGATTAAATTAACATCCTTGAATCTTAATTAGTGTGTGAGGCAGAGGTTGCCTTAATAACGGAGATAATAATGCACAATGTTAAAAATAATCAAGCTGTGCCCTTCCTGCATCACACATGCAAATCCCCTTCAGAGAGAGAGAAGTTGCAAAGGGCAACACCAACTGAGAACAGGGGGTACATTGGGCTAAGAAAGTGCAAGCAGCTATGTGGCTTAATTGCTAAATTATATGGGGAACTGCTTTGTTATTTCAATGCCTAGCATCAACCATGGTGGTGCATCACAGGTAGGACTGCATGGTACATTCTCAATCAAATATCTTGGGCACTTTTGGTACCCCATCAAAAAAAAAAATCTGAGGATGCAGAAGGGAGTTCTGGAGGACATGGCGGAAATGTGTACTTATTAGTCACATTTATCTCCTGGTCTCCCTCAAAGGACTTCTAAATGGTATATATGGTTCATGAGTCTCTTGTTCCCCACTTTCTTTTCATAACATCTCTGTAATGTCAGTCACTTGAAGATGACAAAAGGCCAAAGAACAATCATTGAGTTGCTAGGTTCAATGTTGCTCAAGTCCCAGTTAAACATACTAACAGTGTTAGTCCCATATTCCCCAACTGTCCTGATCTGCCAGGAACCATCCCATTTAATCATGTCATTCCACTTCTTTCAGCTGCTTTTAAAATACTGGAGTTTCTTTTCCTTTTACCATTTTCTCCCTTTTTCTTCAGCTTATATCAGTGGAGTTCAGTACAAACAGTTAATTCAGTAGGGGAAAGAGAACAGTGCAGAATATGTGTTGTCAAAAACTTTCATGGCCAAAATTATTGAGTTGCTGTGAGTTTTCCAGGCTGTATGGCCATGTTCCACAACCATTCTCTCCTGACGTTTTGCCCACAGGATGCCTGTCATAAATGTAGGCAAAATAACAGGAGAGAATGCTTCTGGAACATGGCCATACAGCCCAGAAAACTCACAGCAACCTAGTGCAGAATATATTTATATTAAAACAGGCATCTTCAAAAAAGACTCACCATACCCAAAATGTACATTATACAAATGCATACACGTACATACAGAGAGAGGGAGAGCAGATAAAGCAGTCAGGATTTTCCCTGAGCCACCTTTAAAGAAGAAAAAGAAATTTGCAAAGTTGAAGAAGGGACCCTTATTCTGGGAGTTTTAATTAAAAAAAAACCTTCTCTAGACTTTGTCCTAAATACATATAAAACTTCACACACTGCTAATGTGCAGAATAAGACTGACTCAGAGGGATGCATATTGCTGCAAGGAGAGTCCTAAACTTTCCTCCAACTCCCATCTGCAATCTAGTTTTTTTAAGTGCAACAAACAGGTTATAAGATGAAAGCTTCTTGACTCCTATACCTTGCTGGCCTCAGGAAGAATGACAATGAGATTGACAAGGTGAGCTATAAGCATTTACTTTGATTTCATTGAAGACAAGAATATTTCAAGAGCATTCTTCCTCCTTTAACCTTCTAGGGTTCACACATTTTTGGCAATTTGTGCATTGAAAGTGTCCCAAAAGCTTGCAACCAAAATATTGTTTAGGTAATTCAAAACTGTGTAAAATTGCATGCATGCCCACATGTCTGCTCAGAAAAGTTATTTGGAAGGACTGCAATACCCAGAATCAGCAAGCCAACATGGCTAATTGCCATTTGGGAACTGGAGTCCCAAAAAGTAAGTTCCAAGGAGCCATACAAACATCCCCACTGCTTTTGGGCCTTCCTTGCACCTCTAGAATAGCCAGCTCACAGTGTTTTTGGGGTGATTTTTCCAACATTCTTTTCAAAAACTAAACTCTATGGAAACTATTTTCAGATGTGTTGGGCTATATCTGCCTTACTGAAAACTCATAGAACTTGCAGTTCCCAACATCTCTGAAACCATGGAACTTGTAGTCCAACATATCTGAAGGGCACCAGGTGAGGGAAGAATGTGCTGTACTCAACAGCCCTGTTTCTCTTTAATTTTTTCCTAATTAATTCAAAACCTAGGCTGACCCAGAACATCTTACTACCTAACAACAAAGGCAAGATGGAACACTTCTATCATTTGCCACATATAGAAGCCAACTTACTGTAAGTAGTTGTTGAACCTTTATAGCGTTCAACCTAGATAAGGAAGTTGATTAGTTTAGGGCAGTCCAGTTAGGTAAAATACCCAAATCTGTCCTAAAAAAAAAAAAAACATGGAACAGATGACACGGAAATACAGCCAAAAAAAAAAGGTAGCTAATGCACCCAGCATCTGTTATTTGAGGAAGGATATTCATTCTGCTTAATAATAGGGCCAGCCCTGTGACAACCTTATTTTGACAATTCAGCCACTGAGACACACTGACCCTTTGGTTCCTCCTCACCAAGGTTAATCCTCTTTGATTAATAGGGATGAGACAGTTTGCCCCCACTAACCTCGGACACAATCAAAAGTAATCCAAATCATTAATAACAGTAAAAAAAATCTTTTATCAGCAATTCCCAAAGCTGATGATATATGAGCACTCTACCTATCAGACATTTACCTTCCCTAATAGCACCATAGAATCATAGACTTGGAAGAGATCTCGCGGGCCATCCAGTCCAACCGCCTGCCAAGAAGCAGGAAACAGTCGTTTTTTAAAGCTGTATAAGAACCCATTTCTCCAGTGGTTACAAATGCATAGATTTTTACCCCCAAAGCCCCCAGTTTTTCCAGACAGAGCTCTTCATCTAGCAACACATCAGAGGAACTTAACTGGAGAAACGAGGACTGTAAAGTCTTTTCGTGGAAGCAATGGACTAAGAGTTTCTGACATCTGTTTTATAAAGAAATGCAGACTTTTTAAATTATGCAATCTCTTTCAACAAAACAGACTTGGAAACACATTAAGAATCATGCCAGCTTGCACAATGTTTCTGTTCAGTGGGGCTTTTCTTCCCACTGCTTTGGATTTCCTGGCAGCATCTCTT